TGAACCGTTCTCTGTACCCTTCCACTGCCTTTGACCTTCATTCTGCCATTTTGTGTTGTGTACTGCTGGTTTCTTCCTCCCATCAGAGAACAGGAGACTGGTCCATTCTAGTTGGGAGGGAAAGCTTTTTTTTTTTTAGTCATTTATTTTCACATTGCCATTTGAACCTTGAGGTGGGAGCTTTTCTCGATGTTCAGATCTCATTGCGTGTCGCTGGGTGCTATGGTGGCCTTGGGTATCACGTTGGGGATACACAGAAGCTCATACCTTGAATAGAACTCTGTTGGTCTTAAAGGTGCCCCCACTGGACTCCCAACTTTGTTCTAGCGCTTCAGACCAACACGGCTCCCCGCCTGGATTAAACTGAAGAAGGCTCGGTAAGGAAGTTGGGAGGGCTTCCTCTTCGCATGCTGAAGAGGCCACCGCATGCCTCTTGTACTGCTCAAAACATGAAGATGGATTCAGGTGGGTAGCCGTGTTGGCCTGAAGCAGCAGAACAAAGTTGGAGTCCAGTGGCACCTTTAAGACCGGTGAAGTTGAATTTTGGGTATCAGCAGGGCTATTTTTGGGCAGGAACGCACAGGAACGGAGTTCCGGCTGGCTCCCGAGTTGGCCACGCCCAGCAGGAACTCATTAGCATAATAGGCCACGCCCAACAGCAGGAACTCATTCGGATTGGCTACATTAGGGGTGTGTGGCCTAACATGCAAAGGAGTCCCTGCTACAAAAAAAGGCCCTGGGTTTGGACAACAAACAAGGTAAACAGAATAACAAGCAAAAGGTGGGTGCGGCTGGATAACCACACTTCTGGTAACATGGGGGTGCGGCCTAATGTGCTATTGAGCTGTGCTGTCAGGGGTGTGGCCTAATATGCTAATGAGTTTCTGCTGTTGGGTGTGGCCTATTATGCTAATGAGTTCCTGCTGGGCTTTTTCTACAAAAAGAGCCCTGGGTATCAGCTTTCATGTGCATGTACAATGGAATGTGTCAGATCATCTTTCTCTGTTGCCCATCCCGTTATTAAAATGACTCGGGACGCTGAAAAAAAATAGACCAAGTGGGAAGCGTCCTTCAGATTGTAGGCTGTCCGCGGCCCAGTGGTTTCAAATGACGACCACCGGGTTTGTTAGAAGACCAACATAAAAAAGAGATTCATGGACACCCCTATGGTTTGATGACCAAGTTGACTCTGTACTGTGGGGGGTTTGACTGTACCGGGGGGGGGGAGTAGTTTCTCATTTACGCTGCATTTGGTGTTTTAACATAAGCGGTTAAACCATTTAGGTCACTCAGTCAATGGAACTGAAGTGCTGGCGCTGGTGTGAAATCCAACTCTTTTCTTTTCCTCCCCAGACGGGAAAGCTAATACTGAAACCCCGCCTTCACGTCCAGTAGTCTTCCGTCATCCTTTGACTCTGTCGTCAAAGGAACAGAAAGCAAGAGACTTTTCCATCGTGGCCGTGAGGCCAAACGGGACTGCGTTGCGCTTAGTTACATCTGAGCCGTGGATGGCGGAAGTGCACAACAGCTGGTATATTTATTCACAGTCTCTGTCTTTTCTTGTGTCATCACCTGTGCTTTCAATAATCCCCCCCCCCTTTACAGTGTTAATATCCCTCTCGGGAGGGTGTCATCTTCAGCGATGTTACTGGCAAAGTGGTTCCCCTCTGCAGGAAAATGGGATTCCTTTGTTTTTATAGATGTGCAAAGCCCTGTAAACAGAAAATGAATGCTAATGTTAAGGGTGGCAGCGAAAGGCATTAACGTGGTGTGCATTTGTTCCCGAGAACCAGTATTTGAAGAGAACGCTACATTTGCCGTACAGGGTCCTACCAGCACACTCCTTCATTCATGACAGCTGTCTTTTGCACACGCTGACCCCCCCCCCCTCCAGTCTGCATAAAAGAATTCCTCTCTTCTCTTAGTGGTAAATTGCTCTTATTTTTACCCCTGCCTTTGTTTAACTTTTGTCCCAGAAGATACAGCACTTCAGCTTTCCTGCACTGATATTTTCAGCAAATTCAACATGTTTTTTAAAAATAATTATTAGTTTTATTTTTAAGAACCTCTGTAAGCATGCTGCTGCGTGCAGCATGTAAGAGCGTGATGTATTGTATGTGGAAGTTACACTGTTATAGCTTTGGCCATGAGACTAGTATTGCTTAACTTTGGATTCGAACTACTTGATAAAAAGTGCCACAAGATGTTTGAAGACAGAATGGTTCAGGTAATCCTTTGGCCTCAGTATGGCCCCGTTACCTATCTATGGCTACCCGATTAAGAAGATGCAGTGGGTCGTTTTGCTGGTTTCTCATATTGCACTGGTTTTCCTTTTCCTTTCAGTTTCGGAGCTAACTGTGACGACTGTCACACCCATGCTGCATTTTTATCAAAACAAAGTTAGCATCAAACCACGGTTTTGCGAACCTTCTAAGATCTGGTTTGGCGCTAACTGCAGTTAGTGAAGATGTGGGGATGATGCTGAACTGATTGGTTCTGAAACTTGGGAAAGGGTGAGGGGAGCAAATGCCCAAATGAGCCACAGGGAACTCTCACTTGCCTAATGGCAATTGTGTCTGCAGGTGAGCCTACGGCGTGGTGTCCTCGTGCGTCTCTCCTTTTCCTCCTCAGCATGGAACTTGGTCACTTGAACGTTCTGCGATCACTGTTTTGACAGGCTTTGAAAGTCAGGCTTGCCAAAGAGAGAGTGGCGCCATCGTTCCGTCAGTGGCGTCCGACATTGAAATCACCAGGGGGGCGGACAAAAGAAATTACTTGGTAATCTGAACCGACCTTATGAAAAAGTGTTACGAGACGTGGCTTGTTACACGCAGTATATTTTGAAACCGTTTGCAATTTAATTTTAAACCCTCCCTATGCCTTTTAGAACCCCGCCCTTTCAAGCTATTTTTAATAGAGTATAACATTTTAAGAGCACATAGCAGCCTGGATGCGCACTGCAAGCAAGACTCCACGGCAGTCAACATGAGTGCGAAAATGACGCTGATGCCAAGGCTATGTAGCTGCAGCAATAAGACTGTGCTCTTGAAGTCTTCTACAAACGCTCTTATGGTTTTTTGTTTTGCTTTTAAATAGACGTCATTGTTTTGTAGGAAATGTGTATAAAAATAAATAACTTTATTTATAACGGTACGTTTGCTGGCATTTTTAAAAAAATTGTATGTAGATACTGGGTGAGAAATCACTGAGTTGGGGCACCCTGTGACGCTTCTTGGGCTCCCCAAGTGCACGTACGCAGGGCTGTGCTCGTTCTGCAATCTGATAAATGCAGAATATCCACAGAGTCCAGTCCGAGAAGAGGGTAAAGAATTAACATTCCAGGCGTTTTACACCGTGGGACTCTTGCCTCTAGCTTTAGATGACTTTGTAAGAATAAATAGCCTGATTCAATGGATCGTGTTGCTGTTGAATGAATGCTTGCTGTTTTACGGCATTAGATTATCCTTTGTAGCTGAAGCGACCTTTCTTTGACACCTTCATCTAGTTCAGAATACGGTAGCCAAGCCATTGCCAGGGATTTGCCGATGCGAACAGATGAACAGACTTTTTCAGAGTCCACTGATGGACTTCTGCTCTATATACTTATCTAATTCTCTCTCGAAGCTGTCCATGCTTGTAGCTGCCGCCAATTAAAGGCCACAGGAGGTGACGGGGGCTACAAGCATGGACAGTTTCAAGAGGGAATTAGATAAGCTTATGGAGCAGAAGTCCATCAGTGGCTATTAGCCACAAGGTACAGATAGGAAGGAGCTGTGGTGGCTCAAGTGGTTAAGACGCTGAACTGCAGGCTGTGGAAGGTCGGTAGTTCAGCAGTTTGAGACCCGGGTGCCGCATGATGGAGTGAGCTCCCATCTCTAGTTCCAGCTCCTGCCAACCTAGCAGTTCGAAAGCAAGAAATTGCAAGGAGATAAATAGGTACCACTTCGGTGGGAAGGTAACAGCGTTCCGTGCGCCTTGGTGTTTAGTCATGCCGGCCACATGACCACGGAAACGTCTTCGGACAGCGCTGGCTCTTCGGCTTTGAAACGGAGATGAGCACCGCAACCCTAGAGTCGGATTCGACTGGCTTTCGAGCAAGGGAGACCTTTACAGATAGGAACTCTCGGGCTGGAGCAAGGGATGCTCTGTATTCTTGGAGGCAACAGTGGGAGGGCTTCTAGTGTCCTGGCCCCACTGCTGGACCTCCTGATGGCACTTGGTATTTTTGGACACTGTGTGACAGAGTGTTGGACTGGATGGGCCATTGGCCTGATCCAACATTGGCTTCTCTTATGTCCCAGTCTTGTTTCCCAACTGCAATTCAAAAGCGCTGGTTTTGATCTATAGAAAGCCTTTAAAGGGCTTAGGACCAGATTACCTGAAGAACTGCCTGCTCTCTACTGAACCTCCCTAAACTCTGCAATCATCTTCTTCCAGAGCCCCATCTGCTATTCCCAGCAACAGGGCCTTCTTGGGGGTGGCACAATGTTTGTGGGATAACCCCCCTGATGATTTTCAGATGATGCCAAGCAGCCATGCTTTTGTTTAGACGCCATGTTAGGGTTTTATTTACTTCTTTAATTTATATTTCATCTTTCTCCCCCACAGGGACCCAAATCTGCTTATGGCATTCTCTGGTCTTCCATTTTATCCTCACAACAACTCTTGTGAAGCTAGGCTCAGCCTAGAGTGTGGGACTGGCCCAAGGTCACCCAGCGAGCTTCCATGGCGGGCTGGGAATTGACATAGGTCCTTCGGATCCTAGTCCAACACCCTTGGCCGTTAAACCACGCTGGCTATTTTCAATGGTTTATTTGGTTTTAGTGCTTCTGGCCGATTTGTACTTAGCCCTCTGAATTATATTAAGTTTTTACCCTGGTCTTTTAATGTTCTTTTACTTTATCCTCTTTGTGGCCTTGAGATATTTCTGACTGGAAGCAGAAGGAACATTTTAAAAAGAAATAATATATTCTCTGAGTCAGCTTGCTTCTTTAATTGCACTTAGGGTCCCATGCCGGGTTAGTATGTTATTGGACAGCTCATCCATTGCGTAAGAGCACGGCCATTCTGAATCAGGAGATGTCCTTTTTCCAACGCAGTTTTAACACTTACATTGCAGTGCACCTACCGATATTAATTGACATCCACTGTGGTGTGGTGATCAGAGTCCCAGGTTCAAATCCCCGCTCACCATGAAAACCACTGGGTGACCTTGGGTCGGTCATTCTTAGCCTAGCCTACCTCACAGGGTGGTTGTGAGCATGACACAGAGGAGTAGAGAGACCCATGTACGCCCCCGCGAGTTCATTGCAGGAGAAACGAGATTTAAAATGTACCGAATAAAACACATGGATTCTGAAGGTCTGTAGAATTTTCAAACACGTTTTGCAAAGCTTGCAGCAGTCACTGCAAATCTTAAAATATGTCCCTTGATTCACCTCTGTAATATTACTGATAAAGCCGTATCAGCTCTCGAACCTTTGGTGGATAAAACGCAAAAATGTCATGTAGTTCTGTGTTAATTGTTTTAACCTTGAAGTTCAGTGCCCATTGTGATGAGTGGCAATAGTAAGATTAAGCCCGTAACTGGCCCGGGAACTAGTCTCGACATGTCTCCTTAACAGGAAAGAAACGCCGCCCCCCTCCTGGGAAATCACTACCCGCTTCTTCCTTGGTCTTCACTGTAGCCATATGGTTTGGACTGGAAACAACCGCCACAATAGGAAACTTCATGTCAGGAGCTATGTTGGGGCGGAAAGAAGGATATGTTATCAAGAAATCTTGAACAACGTTGGGAGATTTCCAATGTTTCAGCTTTTCTACAAATTGAAGAGATTTCCCAATATATTCATCCATCTTTATGAGACTGGCGGCGACTGTTCCCACGGACGATCTGGTATAAAACTTTTTGATTCTTTAGTGGGGCCAATAGTTTGTGTTAGTGTTGACGTTGTGTTATTACAGAAGCAGAAATTAAAGACTGGCGAGGAAGATGTAGCGCAGGCTTCTTGCCTTTCTGAGCGTGAAAGAAAGTAGGTTACGGGGGTAGCAGATAACAAATATGGCCGTTTTAGAATAGCGCGGGGGAAATGAAAGCGTGGCTCGCCACTGCCGATATGGTTATTGGGGTTTCAGTGGCTCTAAGAGACAACAAATTTGTTGATTTTTAAAGTGGTGAATGTAATAGTATTTCAGGAAACGGACTTTCTTCGAGACCTCAAATTTACCCCACCTCCCTGCGCACAATTTTAAGAAATTTGGATCCGTTAGTTTTTTGAAAACAGACAGGTCTTGGCATGGTTATCAGAAATAAAAAACAAACAGGATTTTATGATCCACCTAAATATGAACCCCATTACTTTTGTGTTCAGAAAGTGCTCCACGGTGTCACAGAATAACATCACTTTCCTTTCAACCCTACTGTGGTTTTTATTTTATTTATTTATTTATGGATGTATATCCCGCCCTCCGTGCGGACGGGCTCAGGGCGGCTCACATTTATCGGCACCATTTGCCAAGTCATGATAAAACATATAAAAACAGTTAAAACAATCATACAATGACAAATAACAATTAAAGTGCTCGTTATGATGGGTCGTTCTTACAAAAGTTTTAAAAGGCGTACTATCAAACATAATACTGAACAGTCAGTGGTATTCCGGCTTCCCACGGTAGTGTGGCTCAATCGCACTGCAGGGACAGCCCCTTGCCATAGACATTTAATATTAGAGAGAGAGAGAGAGAGAGAGATTGGATTTATACCCCGCCCTTCACTACCCAAAGGTGTCTCAGAGCAGCTTACAAACTCCTTTCCCCTCCCCTCCCCACAACAGACACCCTGTGAGGCAGGTGGGGCTGAGAGAGCTCTGACAGAAACGGCTCTTGTTCAAGAACAGCTCTTATCAGAACTACAGCTTGCCCAAGGTCATATTAGTAGTTGTTGATGGTAGTGGTTATAAAGTGGCAGTTGTGTATTGTTCTTAAACTCTGCTTGTTGTGCCACAGTGCCCAAGACTCAAGAACGGCTCTGGAGTGACCCAAAATACGCTTTGTACGAATTATCCCAATGTTTAAAAGCAAGAAATTGCAAGTAGATAAATAGGTACCACATGTGGTTGCCGGGGCAAAGGGATGGGTAAGATTAACTTAGATGACAGCTATTTATTATTATTATCTGATATTTGATGCAGGATGCTCAGTTTTAAATAAGTATTAGTTTATAATACTTATCACTGTCGTTTCTGCAAATTATAAACCACAAGAGTGGTTAAGACACTGAACTGCAGGCTGTGGAAGGTCAGTCATTCAGCTGTTCCGAGACCCGAGTGTGCCGCATGACGGAGTGAGCTCCTGTCTCTCGTTCCAGCTCCTGCCAACCGAGCAGTTCGAAAGCAAGACATTGCAAGTAGATAAATAGGTACCACTTCGGTGGGAAGGGAACAGCGTTCCGTGTGCCTTGGTGTTTAGTCATGCCGGCTACATGACCACGGAAAAGTCTTCGGACAGCGCTGGCTCTTCGGCTTTGAAACGGAGATGAGCACCGCAACCCTAGAGTCGGATTCGACTGGCTTTCGAGCAAGGGAGACCTTTACCTTTACCTTTTTACTTTAATTTGGGCATGGCAATCAGCATATGCAGTTTCCTATGACTGGGCACAGCGAACCCATGGGGAATCTGGGCACGTTCGATTCTTTATAATCAGTGAGGGGGAAATAGGGCTGCCAACCTCCAGGCGGGGCCTGGAGTTCCGGAATTACTACCGATCTCTGGACTACAGAGATCTACTTCTCTGGAGAAAATGGCAGCTGGGGGGGGGCATCACATCCCCGCAGGGCTTAGAGGGACACACTGCTGGCAACCCTCAACTGTAGTACATACATACATAAGGTAAAGGTAAAGGTAAAGGTTCCCTTGCTGGAAAGCCAGTCGAATCCGACTCTAGGGTTGCGGTGCTCATCTCCGTTTCAAAGCCGAAGAGCCAGCGCTGTCCGAAGACATTTCTGTGGTCCTGTGGCCGGCATGACTAAACACCGAGGCGCACGGAATGCTGTTACCTTCCCACCGAAGTGGTCCCTATTTATCTACTTGCAATGTCTTGCTTTCGAACTGCTAGGTTGGCAGGAGCTGGAACTAGAGACAGGAGCTCACCCTGTCTTGCGGCACCCGGGTCTTGAACTGCTGAACTACTGACCTTCCACAGCCTGCAGTTCAGCGTCTTAACCACTTGAGCCACCGCAGCTCCACATACATACATACATACATACATACATATTTTGATTTATATACCGCCCATGACCCCCACTGGGTCTCAGAGCGGTTTACACTGAACTACTTTTTCTGTAGGTTTTTTTATTATTATTATTACCTGACTAGGGCCACAATTTCTCAGGGGGTGGGGTTGCCTAGCAATACCCAGTACCTAGTAGGTGGTTTCCCTGGGAGTAAATGCACCCCCCCAACCCCCCCACTAAACTCCATGGGATTCTCTTCCGAATGAGCATGCAAAGGATTGCAAACTACCCGCAGGGCAGGTCTGCTGGGGCGCAACGGGACTCCTCCTCGCTCCCGGGCAAGGCCGCCTCGGATCGGGTGGCTAGCGGGGCTCGCCGGCCTTCCTGCTTCCTGGCCAGCCTCCTCCGGGGCGGAGGTTCGCTCCCTCTCCCGGCTTGCAGCGCCTGCGCCCCGGCGACACACGTGGGGGGAGGCAGGCAGGCAGGCAGGGCTGCCGGAGCCTTTCCTGGCCGCCGCAGAAGGCGCGATCATCATGGGCAAAAGCAAAGCCAGGCGGTTCCGCCGGCCGCCCTTGGCTCCGGCGGGGGACCGAGGGCCGTCGGGCGTCGAGGCCGAAGGCGGGGAAGCGTCGCCGGCCGCGGAGCTGAGGGAGAAGGTAAGGAGCGAAGCGAGCGCCTCGGAAGAGGAGACCCGGCCGGCCCTCTCGCTTCCTTTCTCTCTCTGCAGCCCCGGGCGGAGAAGCCGAGCCCGCCCGCTTGCAAAGGAGGGGAACGGGGGTTGCCAACTGACCGGGCGGCCACCCCGGCCTGGCCTGCTCCTGTGCACGGCGGAGGCAAAGGGTGGAGCTGCAGAAATCCGTAGCTCAATGTTCTCTCCAAGCTGTGGAGTCTTGTGAGCAAAAAATCCTACTTTGTGAGCTGCTGGCATTCAAGTTGGGAGCGAGCGGTTTGGCTGCTGCAGGAAACCAGTTTCTTCTGGAGCCATCTTTCCTGAGCGAAGACAAAAAGTCTGTGAGCCGGAGGCTAAAAAACTGCAAGCTAGCTCACACTCACTCAGCTTAGAGGGAACACTGGCGGGGGGGGGGGGGGAGGAGATCTGGGTCTTTGT